TGCTTATGAACTCATCCATCTACCAATCACGTCCAAGCGCATTAGATGAGTGCACCAATCACCGATGTCCGTTAATTTCTGTGTGGAAGTTCAGAGAATCTAATTGGTTTCCAATCACAGTCGCAAACAACCTATCAATCCATCGGTTGTCAACATCTGAAATCTGTGTGCTTGCTCGATGACCTTGGTGATCATGGTCACCTTAAGCAGCAATGCTCGCAAATGGTGATCTCGTGTCGTCATTAACCAGTCTGTTTTTTTCAAGGTAGGTTTCCTGTGATTGGTATTTAACGCAGCTGCACTAATGAATAAACCCGGTCCATATTCATCATGTGGTTTCTCGAAAAATACTTACTTGAGAACATCAATACCGTAGGCCCAATCGCAGTGTGAAACTTATTATTCCTTAGCCTGAGCATAATATCATGTCATACATTTTTTCGTTGCCATTTAATCGTTATCCATCGGAAGTATGTCTATTTCTAATTAAATTTCTATCATAAATGAAAGGCACGAGAATACTTTAATAAAAATGTCTCACTAATTCAATTATTTCAAAGTATGCTAGATTATTATGCTTTAAGCCCTAGCGTAGACGGGATGAGATATGGGTAAAAAACGGAAGAAAAACGCGTTATTGATGGTTTAGCAATGCAGAATTTGTGGCCCGTGCGAAAAATGATGTCCAATGTTGGAAGAATCGTATGTACGCTGAGAGGGTAATCCATAATGTGAAAGCGGTCACCGTTGAAATCAACACAACTATTTGCATACGAACGGAAGCGGTTGTCGATTAAAAACGAATTAGTTATCCGCTTCAGAACGTAGAAAATTAATTGACAAATTTCGTCTGTGTACCAATATTATTCCTAACCGAAGGACACCATCTTATTTCAGACAGCGAGTATTGACGTCTTTGAACTGTCTTATGAAATTCACCGTGAGAAACAGTTGCAGTTCATGTAGGACTTACGATATCCCTCACTGTAACAATTCATACGGCATTCAACAACGTCCTGTGTGCTGTAGTTTGTTGCTCAATAAGAATGGTGTCATTTTGTGGAACGAATCACTGGAATGAAGTCAACTCTGCTGTGTTTGGATACGGTTTGGACACGGTTACGACAAAATACAAAAAAAGGTTGAAACAGCTCAAGCAGTCCAGTTGCCCAAATAAATGTTTCAGACCTCATCACAACAGCTGTGATCATGAAAAGCGCAGTCCCGACAAAATCGGGACTCTTTTTTCTTTTTCGTTTTTCATTTTACTTCCTTTTATTGAATATCCAAAGATACAATTTTCAGGAAAGGGGAAGCGGCCAATCAAAGACGGGAATGGTATTTTTCGATAGGAATAACTTTGGACGGTGATGACCGAGTGGTAAAAGTCACCAAATTATCGCCCCGGGAAACGTGTTCAAATCCCACAATCACTGTCTGCTTTTCCTCATTCAGTAGTGTATAGCGGCTCTATGATTGGCCGCTTCCATCTTCCTAAAAATTGTATCTTATTTATGCAATAAAAGTAAAAATGAAATGAAATAAACAGTAATGCTATACCATGGCATGCATCTCAGTTGAATGCGCTTAAGGAGAAAACAGATTATTCATTACTTTAGGTTCCTTCACAAGAGTTCGGACTGGAACCAAATAACCGGGGATCAACGGACTAAAGTGATCACTGCGTGACAACTAAAGAGAGGAATAATGATAGATGTGCGATCGCACTACGTTGCGAATCGGCACGACGCCTCAATGACATAATTAACAGGTTTGTGGCTATTTAAATATGCCTCATTGCGATGTGGTCGCAATCTGTTTCACGAATTTAAACAGGTCTAGTGCACAATCATATATGTTTTGCCTTCGATCAGTTGATTGCACAATGAGAGACCGAGGGGCAATTTGGAAACATTTTCCATTCTAACGGAACAAATATATTATTTGAGGAATGGAGGAATAGTAATGTTCGTTTTCTAAGATGGAGCGCGAGCAATCCTTTGAGGGTAGATCTGGCCATTTATTTGCAAATTGCACCCTGACAAACGTAAACACGAGATTAGCAACCTTAATTATTTTACAGCAACTGAGATCTGGAGCCCCATGTTCAGAGCCGATATGGCATCTGAAACCGAAGAGCAGGTAAGCTAGAACTAAACCATAATTTTATTGCAGATAGGCGATGTGACCTTACTGGGACACACTGAAGCAGTAACGGGGGCCATGTGGGCTCAAGACGATAAAGAACTGGTCTCCGTCGGAATTGACAAAACCGTGCGCGTATGGGACGTGGAGAAGCTCGTTGAAAAAAGTCGGCCCATATACTACACAGCCCGACTCAATGCAGTTACCGTGGACGACGAAAGTAAAAGGTGATGGATCCATGGTGAAGGTTTAAAACTAAATTTCCCCAGGATGATCTGTGGCAGCACTGACGGATGTAGTATTGTTTTCGATTATCGCACTCAAATTCAAACGGTACGTTAAACCAGAGGCTTTTCGGGGATTTCCGCTCCGATTAGATGCAAATGAGAAACGGCGGCCCGATCACAGATGTCGCAGTTGACAGGACCGGATTTCGGATTGCCGCAGTCAGTGATGTGAATTGTGAACTCAACGTATGGGACCTGCGTAACAGAAATTGTCTGGCCCGAATGCAAAGTAGGTCCTGAATGAAGTATCATATTCTCGCCGATAGACGTGCATCGGTCAATGCCTACTTCATGTGAGTTCACACCTGATAATCGTTCCATTATCACCACTTCAACCGATGGATCGGTGAAATCGATTGATTACGAATGTGGGAGAGCTTTAATCACATTGAGGTACGTCATACTACCAACAGCCACGCGTTGATATGCAACAAACTCTTTTTCATAAAATCATAGAGACCATAAACATGCGGTTTCCTCAGCCTGTTTGACCACGGATGGCAGATTACTGGCGACCACATCATGGGATCGGTCGATCCTTTTGTATGATCTCCAAACTGGAGCCTATCGCAACCAAGGTCCGACGGTTCTCACTGGAGCACACCAAGGATCGATAAGCTGTTCTAGTATGAGCGCTGCAGGTGAGCGCGAGTGCTTAACCATTCATATCTACGATTAATGTATCCTGCAGGTGATATTCTGGTGACTGGTGGCCTAGATAAACTGATTATCGTGTGGGATCCGGATAAAGGACATCATGTGTTGAGTTTAAATGTGAGCTCTTTTCGAAATACCAAGATCTATTCCCCGTCTAATCCCTTAGGGTCATAAAGACTGGGTGAATACAGTGAAAATATCCACGGACGAAAGAGTCGTTCTTTCAGCGTCAAAAGTAAGCACGATCGATAATGTTTTCCATCTTTCCAGGACAAAACCATTCGCCTATGGGACGTGTTGAGTCGGGAGCGAATGACAACTGGTACTATGGTGGACACCCATGCCAAAGTCAACAAATCAAAGGTAAGATCATCAGGTTAAAACTTTGAATTATTTACATTATATCTACTTAGGCAAGTTAGGTAGTATGGAATTCCCCGTGATAGTCGTGCATGTACTGAGCAGGTCTGGATGAAGCGACGAGGCAGTCCGGTCATGATGAAGCGTAGGTGTGTAAAGTTAGCATAATTTGGTGCTTCAGGACTTCACACTTGGAGACCAAGAAATGAGGCTTGCTGATATTACGAGACAGGTAAATATTGTTTAAAATAGACTACCGGAAGGCGACTTCTATGAAGTCTTTCCAGTGAACACCCGTGTCCTATGAAGAACAAACAGAAAATACGCAATGGAAACACATCCTTGTTCCTCTCGAACGGTTTTCCATCATTTTCCTTTATTTATACATCCAGCTTCTTGTTATTCGATACGTTGTTGCTCGTTACTAAACTGATGTAATAGACCAATGCAATACCGAGCAACTAAAATAAAACCGAAAACCTGTGGGACTAGTCCGGAACCACCATGAAACGACTAAGGGCATGAAAACTTGAAAAGAAATGACAATTTCCACCCAAATTCAACAAAGTTTATCGACGAACAGTTTGGCTCAAAAGCTTGAAATCCAACACAATCACTACCTTCAACAACCATTAGGTCTTAGACCTACTTTGTGCCACGAACTCGCACCTTCCAGACCTACCTGGCTGAGGAACGAGCACAATGTAAAAGTTCTCTTCGGTTTCAAAATTTCTACTTACAAGTCCGGAGAATAACAATGGGACTTTCTAACAGCTTATTGATTTGGTGATCAGTTAACATTTAGTACTTTTCTAGTACCCACTTTACATATACCATATCCTGACGGGACCGCACCTTGACCAGTAAGATGACTTCCGTGCCTAAAAGAAACTGTGAGCTTTAGTCGATGTCTTATCACAGTCGCAGATGCACTCATGCCTGAAAGGTCAAAGGGTAGAGGTCAATCAAAGCTCAGCTCTCACAAGACCAGCTGCTTGGGCACATCCCGCTTTCCTTTGTCTGTCCACTCTCGCCCCCCCCCCCAACCCCGGAAGGTCACTACTTCAGTAAATAAACACCGAGAGGCAGTTTAACGGGCAATAAAACCCGTAAGGATGGGGTACTTGAAGCTTACTCCCGACGGTGAGAGAAGCCTGTGCATTTAGTTGGACAGCTACCGCCCCGAGCAGCTCCCAGACAAGTTCTTTCTTCCAGATCGTACGAGATGCGTTCTGTTGACGCCACCCATGGGATATCGCTGTGCTTAACTAGGCGTTATCAACATCAGGCAGAGAGATACGGTGAAGCAAACTTCGCTTATCGCTGCAAAGATCACAATGTACACAAATTAAGTGATAAAGTACTATATGGCGAGGGATTTGGTCTAATTGGAGGGCGAAAAAGAAAGTGAGCCTCCATGCCTCCACCGCTTTCCGTTAGTTGTCACATCCTTGAATGTCTCCAACCAGCCGGTTTAAGTCTTTCGGGCCTCAACCTGTCAGACGGGAGACACCTATTCCAGCTAATCAGGCTGTGCATTTTTTCACAGCTCTTTTCAACGTCATCTGTTGACCTTCACGTGGTTTCTTCCAACCCGAAACCAACTACGATTAAGGCGCGGTGTGGTAGACGATAACTGGGCATGCGCAATACGTGTCCTAACCAGTGAAGCCGAATAGTCTGATTTCGATGGGGCAACGAATTCTTCATCGAATAGTTACCAAATATCTCAGATTTGCTTACACGTTCACTTCATCGAACCCGCAGCGAACTACGTAAACATCGGCAGTCGAAGAATTCAAGACGACGAATATCTTCCACGCGCAAATTTAGGACCTCGCAACCATAAAGCAGAAATGACCGCATGCACGACCTTTTAGTGTCAACAAAACATCGCGTCTGAATCAAGGGTGTTTCAGTCCTGCGTAAGCTTCTCGAGCCTTGGAAATACGGACGGGTGCTACACCGACTCTGCTGTCGTCATCTGTCAAGCAACTAGTAGGTGAAACATTCCACTAAAGTTAATTCTTGACTATTAAGCATCAGTGCTGGGGTAGGCAACACCCAGTCTTGTAGCATCACTTTGCACTAAGAAGGTGCAAAGTTCCCTTTCGCCTGTTCGCCGAGCTTGGCAATTTGTTTGCAAACGTTTCATCACCAGCCGAGGTGAAATCATCGGTGTTTGTGAAACGGTAGTCTTCTGCACCACTGATGATGTCACCTCGGCTGGTGATGAAACGTTTGCAGACAAATTGCCAAGCTCGGCGAACAGGCGAAATGGAATTCAGTTCACCCGAGCTACGAGAACCGATTTCCAAAACTTTGTCAAGATGCAAAGTGCATGCCGAAAGGAGTTACAGAACTTGAAAGTCCGTCAAGAGCGCTTTGTGCATCTTCCATACACTCGGACAGGCAAACTATGTGGTCAGTGTACTCTAACTCATACAGCTATTCTCCCACTACCCATTCAATACCTACGTTTTAGACACCACTAAGTGCGTTCTCTAGTATTTCGTCTACGACGAAATTGAACATCAACGGCAAGACAGGATACTCTTGACGAACACCCGGTTGCCAACGATTTACTTAGTTCAACCTAGACCCCTACGCTACCAGAAGTACGCAGATACAGCAATCGCAGTTGGTTTACATACTTCAGCGGCATTCCTTTGCAGAGCAGGGACCTCATAAAAGCTTCATGGTCGACTGAATCGAAGGGTCCCTTTAGACAAAGGAATATCGCAACGGTTGGTCGACGATATGTGACGTAATTCGAGGACTTGACGCGGAGTAAATATTTGGTCGATGCAACCGCAAACTAGTCGGATATTCATCTCCCTTAGGGAGGTCAGGCGGTGAAGTATCACAGAATTTAACACTTGTGAAGATGGGAACCAAATTAATCCTGAGGCTTTTTGCGCAGTCGTTGCGTGATCCCTTCTTAAAAACCGGAACGATCAACAATTTATCCCCAAGATAAGGGAATACAATCTTCTGACCAAAGGCTGTGAAGTAAGCTAGTAATCGAGTCGAGAGAGTCACCCCTCAGCTTGAAAATTATGGGGAAAACCCCTTCAGGTTGTGCTGCCCTCCCTTTATTCAACGGCTGAACACAGCTTCTTACTTATAATTATGTTGGAGGCTTACATATTACCAGTCATGGAGTTTCGCTGTGGTTGCCGAAAGAGCAGCATTAGCACCAAGTCAGTTGAACTGTTCGCTAAAATACTCTGCCCAGCGCTCAAATCGTTGTTAGTTATTGTAGATACTCTGTCCATTTTTAACGCAAGTGTTCTTACTGACCGGTATGCGACGACCTCCGGTGCTGCGTATCAGATGAAACAGTCTTTGATGCAGATGCTACCTCTATTTCCCAAGCTATTTTTGCCTACCAGTTTTGGCTTTGAAATGTCTTTTTACTTTCTTTTTCTATTTATTGAGTATATAAATGTACAGTCAACTTTCAGGAAGGGGGCTGCGGCCATACAAAGGCTGTCTGGGGAAAATACAGCTATGGGGAAGACGGGCGGCGGTGGAGCGGTTCGAACCCGGGACACTCAGGTCACTAGTTGGTGACTATATCACTTGACCACCACCACTATCTTTCTTGAAACTTTTCCTGAGCAGACGTCGCGGGCGCCACCGGTTCCTATGGTGCGTGGCAGATTGGAATATTCCGCTTTTGTTCCATCACGATTGCTGACTCCAATGTTCTCGGTGAACTTCGGACTCGGTCCAACAAGCAAAGTTCGCTGTTTAGTGCATCGCAAGTCTAATTTGATCCCACTGTTGGTCTACTACACCATGTCGCGGTTCTCCTAGCTCCTGCCCCAGCTTCTCCTCAGAACGTGCGCAGACAGATGGATCGCGCAGACGACAATGAGCTAACTGAGGAGGCAATTTCCGCCAGGGAGTAATAGGTCGAAGACTGAAGCGTAAAAGAGTTTTGTTACGCTACTAGTGCATGATCCGACTCAACGCAGGTGGTCCAGTAGAATCTGCAATTTTGTACCGAACTACGCCAAAGCCATTCAGGTGGTTTATAACACTAGGATCCTGGATTCGCTCCCTCGATAAGCAGCAGATATCGATTCCCAAAAAGTTCATTGTACGCGCAGGATACGCTTGTTGATTCACTATCATCAGAATCCACGCGTTGAAGGCCCTCAGATTCAGTGATTGGTGAATTACTTACAGCTCTACTGGGCAACGGACTGTGGCTAGTGACGAACGAGTTGTCTGGAGGAATGCAACGGGTCGGAAGAAAGGGCAAAAGACAAGGGGAGGGTACGGAAAACCAGGAGTTAAACAGGTTGGGATATTTCAGCAGCAGTCCGCTTATCACTACCCACCCCGTTCGATGCGATGGGCAGCGCGGTCCTGATTATCCTGCG